GATTCACCTATTGTCTAAGGAGGTACACCCTTCAGCCCACCCAGGATATATCTTAGTACTAATTTTTACAGTGGGGTGGACTTGAAGCTAACTGGCAAACTGGTGAGGAAACACCTCTCCCCATGCCCAGAAAAGGGTTAGCAAAAAACAAGGAACCATTTGGGTAGCTATCACTGGACCTACTTTCTGATACTTGGCCTGCAACCACTGTCCCATTTGCTCCTCATTAACAGGCAATGAAGTTGAGGACCATGTATCATCAGGTTGATCATGAAATTTGGTCAACATGCTTGCTAACAATTACTAAGGACTTCCTATGAATCCTATTAATGAGCCCCAAAGCCCTCCTCCTCTTCCAGAAAGCTATGTGTCTGTCCGCATCCCATCCTCATGATCAAAATCCATCAAGAACTGTGAAGGGTCTGAGATTTTGCTCTATTGCAAGCGCCTGCCATATTCATCGACACTGGTAAAAGACATACCCGTAGGTCACATACAAAGAACTTTATTACTTATGGTACAGTAAGCAGGGCATGATAATCCTTTTTTTTTTTTTTTTTTTTTTTTTTTTGAGATGGAGTCTCGCTCTGTCACCCAGGCTGGAGTGCAGTGGTGTAATCTCAGCTCACTGCAATCTCCACCTCCCAGGTTCAAGCAATTTTCACTTCTCAGCCTCCGGAGTAGCTGGGATTACAGGCGTGTACCACACCACGCCTGGGTAATTTTTGTATTTTTAGTAGAGATGGGGTTTTGCCATGTTGGCCAGGCTGATCTCGAACTCCTCACCTCAGGTGATCCATCTGCCTCGGCCTCCCAAAGTGCTGGGATTACAGGCATGAACCACGGTGCCTGCCCTGATAATCAGCATTTTAAAAATCAGTTATTCCTTATACCCAAGTCCCAGAAGAGTGACCAGATTAGGCCCAGATGGGTGCCTGCACTTACAGTAGGTTTTATTACAAAGAAGAAATCTTAAGCTTACGGAACTCAATCTTTTATAATGGGCAGTAAGCATGCCTTTACTCTGAAGGGAAGACACTATCTTCCGAGGTTGTACACAAACTTAAACCTCTGCTCTGGAAGTTAAAAGGGAGGGCGAGACAGGGGAGAGAAAGACACTGTATCTTCCAAGATTGTTCACTATACAAATATCCTCAAAAAGACAGTACAGGATACAAGAAGTCTGTGCCTTCCTTAGAAAGACATATAGAAATGCAAGAGATCTATGGAGAATTGCTTCTCAATTGGTATAAATTGTAAAAAAATGGAAAAATGCAAAGGCCATTTTGCTCTTTGTGCAGAATTCACTCCAACTTGTGGTGAGATACTCCAAGATTTATACACAAACATTAAGGGACTCTTAAAGATTTTTAAAACTCACCAATAACAACTCTGCCCATCTTGACCCACTTCCCCAACTTACAACACATTACTTTGGCAGTCCATCAAAGCACAACTCCAATATCATAAGTACCATTTACATTTTCAATTTTAATTTTCTCCTCAGCCTTTTCCTTTTCTTTTAATTTGACTAACTTCACACATAAGCCCAGCTAATCTTTACTGCTGCACATTAGCCAAAATGGAGTTCTTCCGATAAATCCTCAGGAGAGAGCCAGGGAAGCTTGATTAAAGGAGAGATTTTTAAAGTCATAGAGGTCAAAACAGGTTCCTTTTTAGGCAATTCATTTTGGCATGACTGCAACATGATTATCTTAGTAAGAACTTTCAAATTTTAAAACAAAAATATACTAATCACATCCTAATATCACAAGAAATAGGGCTAACAGTTACATAAGGGAAGCTGACTTATCTTAACATTCATCTTCTAAGCCCTATATTGTTCCATGACCCAGGCTTAAGAGACTGCCATTACAATTAAACCTCCATCCCCCAAAGAGCCCTGTCTACAACGGCTTATAAAGGAAGGGATAAGAGCCAAATTCCAGGTTGGCCTCAGTTATGTCTAAATGTCAACTTGCTTATCCCACACAGTGAAACATATGAACATTGTAAGGCAGATCTCTTTTAAGGGAAAAGGGTCACATTCCCTAGTTTTTCACCCCAAAGGATAGACAGGAATGTGCTGGTCTCTATGATTCTGTGACCAGATAGAATCACAGTATGTTTACCATTCCATTATAATTCTTTACACTCTAGATGTTATGCTCTCAAACCACTCTGTTTTAGAGAAGATCTCAATGTTTTAGTAAAGTACAAACACCATCAGTCTGCTGTTATTGTCTCCATGTGTATGTTCTGGATTAAGGCACTTTTTTTTGTTTGGATTACAAACCACATTACTTGATAAATATCTGAGAAAAATGGGAGTGGGTGAGTTGGAAATCAAAGTAGATTTCACTTATTCTATGAATACAATCCTTCTAAGAACAAAGATTCTTGCAAGTGTTTAGTTTTCTAAATAACTTTATAATGGAACAGAACCATAACCCAGCAAAAAGAGCCAAAGTTCTTATTTTGGTATAATTTATTCTCTTTTGGTCAAGCAGGTCAACAATAAGGTCATCAATTGCCTTGGCAACACTTACCTCCATTTCCACCACTGCAATGCATTAATGAGTTTATTTATGCCTTGCTTTATCTACGAAGCATTTTTTTCCTATTAGAACTATTAACATGAGCTTAGTTCCACTGTGCTTTTTCAAGGGAGATTTATTACAATGGGATGGAAAATAAGATCATTTCCCAAAAAAGTCACCTTCAGTTTTCAACAGAGAAACATTATGTTTTATTCCATATCTCTTTGGATAAGGAATATTTGATAATATTTCCAGCATAAGATGTCAGCAGTTCTTCTAACACCAAACGACTAAGAACTTTTATTCAAGAACCAGAGTTGCTTATATTGGCATCTATGTAACACAACCTCAACATCTAATTTCCCGGTGTTGAAAAAAAGTCAAATCCCTGCTTCTTTAATTTACGAGTATAAAACATATTACCTTAAAAGCTATTTCCATGTCTCAAACTTTTAAAGCACAACTCTAACCCAATAAAATAAACACACCCACTACAATGCCTCCTGTGATGTTAACACATACTCTACTTTCCCCTAAGAAACTTGAAATAAGGTTATTGTTGTTTTGTTTTGTTTTTACTTATAATTGCCAGTCTTCTTAAATATGTAGGGAATCTCAATATTTGAGTGAGTTTTCTCAACAAGGAAATAGTGGCAATACTGACTTACCTCCCAGAGCTTAAACAGTTTGAAAATATTTTATTGCTCAATCCTTGTATTTAAAGAGTTAGTCATAAGGAAGTCAGTGGCAAGCTGGCCCAAAGCTGGGTCACCCTGGGCAGGAAGTGGCTTTAAAACGTTTAAAATCTGCTGGCCACTTCGGCTAAACACAAAGACCACCTACTCCACTATTCCCTCCCAGCTATCACAGCAAAAAGTACTCACCAGAATAGACAGGAAGAAGGCACTTCTGAGGAAACACCACCAAGGTAACCGTCTGGATTTTATGGATATTTAATATACGCCAGGAACAAAATTACAGATTTTGTCATATTATAAACATTAAAATAGGCCAGTCCACAGACCACCTGGAATTCCTTCACAGATTATACCGTAAATCCAGACTACAGGACCATCTGAAATGCAGGCAATTTGCTAGGTGATATTGTTGCTGTAAGCACATGAGGAATACAGTGGTAACATAGAAAACCAGAGCAATCCTGGAAATGATCTGCTGTAACTTACGCTGAAAGTAATAAGATCCTAACGCCAAAAAATAAAACTCTCTCGTTAAGAGGGCTTGAGACCTATGCTCTAAAACCAAAATTAGTTTGGAAGTAATCAGGTTTCTTTTTTATTTATGAGTACCAACTAAACAGATTATACTCTGAGCCTAGTGACATTTCAGGAATGGGAAAGTGAACTTCCTGATTAAATACGAAAATAAGCCTCATAATAGGAATTATAGTTTAGAAGACCTCAATTAGTAATAATAACAAATAATTTCAAATATTTTTTAAAGTGCTGGATAATTTTTAAGGATAATGTGACTAAAATTAATATTGCAACTTCCCAGAACTATTTGGACTAATTTTTGTGACCACCCAAAAAAGGGGCTAAGCTAAAATCTCATATTCCAAATTGAGTCAGTGACGAAGTTTCAAACTCACCCCCCATGTAACCTTGAAACATTTTAAATAAGATGGTTTATAACAGAAATACTGAAAATAAATCATCCTTGAATACTTTTAGATTTCCCCCTAGTGTACCACAAATCACATCCAGAAACCCAAACAAAAGAATCAGTGAAATGTTTGAGATCTGCTGCTGAAATCCCGAGCTGCAAGACAAGAAAAGGAGAGAGACCAAAGCAGATAGCCTGATGTCTCTTTACTTGGGCAGCACTGAGCTTTCAGAGGTCCTAAGCCGCGCACATTAATACTCTGAGTCCATAAAAGTCAGCAGTAACACTAAAATAATAATAATAATAAATAATATAGGCTCTGGTTAGAGAGAGAAGATCCGTTTACTGCCACCCTGCTGAGGTACATTTGACCACCAAAGGCAAGAAAGCTATTAGCATCCTGAATTAATGGGTATAGTGGTTTTCAAGCAAGATATTTTCATGATGGACACAATGTGGACTCAGCAAAGTTTCTCCTTCAAGAAAAATATAGCTTCTATTTCAAAGGGCACTGATTAGGCTTAATACTATTAGGGAACCATCAAGCATTTGTGTTGTTGTTACTGCTTTTAACTATCAGTTTCTTTCTAAACCAAAAATTGTGGGTAGTCAACTTGACCAACAGTCACTGGTTAGGAATGCAGGAGCAAATCCAAGGTACAAAAGAGCTTCGAATGTAGACAGGCCTTAAGGAGTTTGGAATCTTTTTAGGTTGTCAGGTCTTAGCCTTTCTTATCATCACTATTAGCACTGTTATTACTTCCTTGTCTGGAATTTCTAAATAAAAATTTATTTCCCTCATCACATCCCCCCTGAAGACAACTAGATATGACACAATTTTAGAAATTCTCAATATGGTTTATTAGTGGCAATGTAAATCAATGACCATCAAAAACCAAATAAACATATCTACCAAATGAATACATTCTTAATTACTATTAATTGCTTATAATATATCCAGCAGATGTTTTAAAAGTCAACAATATTAACTCCCTTTGTAGATTAATTGTAAAAAAAATAACTGTTTTGAGTCCATCTCCATCAGTACTTGGAAGTAAAAATATACATTAAATAAGATTATAAAGACTGTAATACATACAACAAAAAAGTCTATAAAACAAAGATAACTTTAAAAGCATTGCCCAATTTACTTTGTAGCTTTTCTATATAAAATATTTTAAAACAGTACATATTTTCTGGATCATACATGAAAGTTCACATCCTGATGTCTTTCTAAATCAAATTCTTACTCTCTCTTTATTGTCAAAATCTTAATTTTCATTCCTGGGTGGATTTTTCTTCCTTGGCAATTCTTTTTGTTACCCCACTAAAATATTTCTCACGGAAGGAATTATGACCTTGGTATGGCAGAAAATGATCACTTAGTAGATGTGAATACTGGTCCCGATTCTGTTTGGTTGGAAAATACAAAATGTAAAAATTATTTCTTTAGTTAGCTTATACCAAAGCAGTTGTTTACCTTAAGCAAAATCTCACCCTCTAGTGCATATTTATTTTCCTTCACTACTTGAATTAGAAATATGCCATCACTTTACATCCTTATCATGCTTGGATATCCAAAGTGTTTTCATTTACCTCATGAAAGCCTCACAAAAGTCCTCCGAACAGAGGACAAATTTCTTTTCTTTCTTTCTTTCTTTTACCTCAGGGCAAAGAGAATGGTTCCAGGTAACAGAGTCAAGGCTATAACTTTCTTCTGATTCCAAGTTCAGCACATGCTGGAGTCATCTGTGCCTATGGATAAAAATTACTAAACAGCCGGGTGCGGTGGCTCACGCCTGTAATCCCAGCACTTTGGGAGGCCGAGGTGGGCGGATCACGGGGTCAGGAGATTGAGACCATCTTGGCTAAGACGGTGAAACCCCGTCTCTACCGAAAACACAAAAAACTAGCCGGGCGAAGAGGCGGCGCCTGTAGTCCCAGCTATTCGGGAGGCTGAGGCAGGAGAATGCCGTGAACCCGGGAGGCGGAGCTTGCAGTGAGCGGAGATAGCGCCACTGCACTCCAGCCTGGGCGACAGAGCGAGACTCCGTCTCAAAAAAAAAAAAAAAAAATTACTAAACAAGGAAGCTTCTACTCAAGAAAAAGTTGGGAACCAACAAAATAATACATTTGTGTGAGGTCATACAGAAACACAAAATTGTCTGGGGGTATTTCCATATTCAGTTAATGAAATAAACAATTCGTGGAAACTTTAAGTGAACATAGTATATGAAGATACAGGCTAAACAAGAGATTTCCACACTTGTAGACTTCACAGACAAGTAAGGACTACTGCTCAGACTGACATCTAATGGTAATATCAACCTGGGTGAAAATGTCATATTTTGGCTTAGAAAATTGAGGTTCCTGGCAGGAAACACTGGAACACTGGCTTCTCATCCAACTGTGAAAAATATCTAATTAGACATAAAATCTCATTTCCCATGTACTTCTATAAATTCATATTCAATTACACCTAGATTAATGTGATTTTGAAGACAAGTGTGGAGACTTAAATGGAAAACATGATTTTTTATCCTGATTTCAGTATCAAAATGGTAGCTAAAAATACAAAAATATATCTGGAATATAACAATCCTCAAAATATTTTTTCATTTTTGCAAAAATATTTTTGCCTGTATAAAATGAGTACCTTCATTTTTCCATCATACCTAGCATTAATAAAAATCCAGGTTTAGCCAAAATAATGTTGGCACATTTGTTCATTCAGAAACTATTTTTGCCATATGTATTTTTAAAATCACACCAAAAACTCAATTATTACAACTTAAACATGCCCAGATTTCCTGATTCATCAAAGAGAAATAGGTAGCTACTGAAATTTTATGGCACCTAAGTATATTACAGTTCCAAATTCCTGCAAGCACATGAAAACATGTCAAAGGTTACTATTAATAACTTCAGGCTACATACAATCCCCCAAAAGATCAATTTTAGAGAGTCAACGTGTAGGTATACAACTAAAGATGCCAAATGAAAGGTAACATTTGCTGGGTGTTTTGTATGGACCAAAAACAATTCTAAATGCTTTATATGTACTACCTAATAAAACTTGTCAGTTCTAAGAAATAAGTAAAAGATCAGTACCATTTTACAGATGAGGAATTATTTAAGAGTACAGGCCCAAGATAATACACCTGGTAAGTGGCAGAGCTAGGCTCTGAACACAGATCTGTTTGACTCTAAAGACTGCACCCTTAACTACAAGGTAATGAGGTTTTCTCCAAAAAAGCTACCTTTTTCCCCAACTTACGAAGCAGGAGGAGCTCTGAGAATATAGGTGATGGACTGAGGCCATGACAGCTGAGCTGCCCACCAAGAAAGGAGTAGAAGTGGATAAGAGGTCTTACTAATGAAGGCCTATTAACTAAGGATATATTTCAATGGCACAGACTTTTCATATCAGGAGGAGGTATAAGAACCACAGGGAAGCTGAAGGATAACAAAACCCTGAAAGAACAGGTGACTCCACAGGTGGACTCAAGTCTGGTCCACATAATCAGGACTGCCAGGACAACGGCAACACAGAACAATGTTCCACCATTTAATGTCAACTACTTCAACTTTTATCAAAAGTCTGACTGAAGTCCATCAATTACTCCTCCAGGTATTCGAAATCTGTCCTTATGTCAGTAAGATCACCGAGAAAACTTGACCACCTCCTGAGCTATGTTAGCTTAATCCTGGCAGAATGTTTTTCTTTGGTTTTATTTTAAAGCTATGTCCAGTTGCTGCCATCTTTTCGGCTACTATGTTGATCCTCACAATTCTTGGCATTGTTCCCCATCCAGTCATCAAAATCAGAAACCTGGGTCAAATCCCTCTTCTCAGATTTGGTCAGTCCTAAAATCTTAGCTTGTATATCCTAAACATCTCAAATCCACTTCTCTCCACTCATATCTCCAATATTTAATCTAGGCCTCCGTCATCCTTGCCTCTTTTCCCTAAATGGACAGCTGCCCTGCCTTCAGCGGTTCCTTCTCTAGTGTATTCTCCATACTGAGACCAAATCTAATTTATTAAAGTGCAAATTTAATATGCCAACCACTTGGCTAAAATCTAAGTAAGTTCAAATTGTCCATAATTCTCAGACTTTTCCCTTGGTATTTGGTACTTACATTCAATTACCTATCATTTTGCGGAATGACATCTCACTTTCTTCTGTACAAGGAGAATCAGAATACAGTCAAGCAATAAAGGACTTCCCAGCTCTGCCCTTGTGTCCACTACTCTCATGGCCCCTCTAGGCCATGCAAGATCACCTCCCTCTCCCCCTTGAACTGCCTGTGGATTACTTCATGGAATATTCTAGAACTGCAGTAGTAAGGAGACTAAGGTAGGACAGAAACATGACTCCAGCAAACTGACCACCAGGCTCAGTTACTAGCGTACCTAGCTGACCTAAGGTGTGGTTATGCAGCTCACAAGAGGGAGGCAGAAGACAAAGCCCAAAGCACAACGGAAGATGGGCTTCCTCCATGGACCAAAGGAAGGGCTTAAAAAAATAGTTTGTCTGCCGGGCGCGGTGGCTCAAGCCTGTAATCCCAGCACTTTGGGAGGCCGAGACGGGTAGATCACGAGGTCAGGAGATCGAGACCATCCTGGCTAACACGATGAAACCCCGTCTCTACTAAAAAATACAAAAAACTAGCCGGGCGAGGTGGCAGGCACCTGTAGTCCCAGCTACTCGGGAGGCTGAGGCAGGAGAATGGCGTAAACCCGGGAGGCGGAGCTTGCAGTGAGCTGAGATCCGGCCACTGCACTCCAGCCTGGGCAACAAAGCGAGACTCCGTCTCAAAAAAAAGAAAAAAAATAGTTTGTCTTTGACCGGAGGGATAGAAATAGGGCAACTATTGGTAATAAAGTCAGAGAATATAAAGATCAGAGTCAGAGACTGGGAATGAACAGCAAAAGCCTGAAAAATCCAAAAGTAATGATTAAAATGTATGCTAACGATTATTGAGAAAACATTTATTACTTAAGACATTCTTTATTGTAATAGTTTAGACCTCTCAGAATAAAGGCAAAATAAGCCCTTAAAAGACCATCTGTTCTATTCAGTGCTATGGGGACACAGTGACAAAGACATACATGCTACTGAAGAAGTTGGGAAAGATCATTACCTTTAGAAATGCAACTCCTCGGGGGAAAATCCTATTTTCTTATTTCCCAGGTAGTAGAGCAGAATCAGTGTAAAGTGTATGTTTGCGTTCTGTGCTAAAATGCCCCCTTTCTAGAAGACCAAATGACTCCTGATTGCAAAACACAATATCATTTATAACAGAAACTCTGGAAAACCCAAAAGCTCCAAATCCCTTATGCAGCCAGAGACTTGGCAGGCGCCAGTCTATTACCCAGCAGCACAAGTCCTGCTTCGAGTAAGGCATTCCAAGGACTTTGGCTACTGTTTTCACTCAAGTGGAAAGACCATAGTTCATAAAACGTTTCTCACAAAACACTCAGTATGTCTATGGTCCAACACATATCACATATAATCGTACATATAAATACCACATACCTATGAACAATACACATTTAAAGTACACCCAGACCATATGAAATAAACTATACGCAGCATTCAGAACTTATATTACCCTTAATGCTAAATAAAATGGCAAACTCATTTTTGTTTTCTCTTTTCTCTCTACCTCTCTTTCATCCTATCTTCAGTTTAGTTTGCCAGGGCTTACATCTGAGATGATGATACTCAACTCTACATATTTTTCATCACCTTTTCATGACTCTTCTCTATGCACATTCCCTGCACATCTCAACCAGGAATATCTGCAAGGGTTTTTTTTTTCCAGCACAGTATCTCAAAGGCCAAAGTGCTTACTTAAAAGGAGAAGAGTATCCTCGGCAAATACAATCTTTGATCTCCCCCATTAACTCAAGCTCACCCCAGTGTTTGACTTTTGGTTTTGCTAACATTTCCAAATCTGTCTACCACTATTCATTGTGATATCATCTACGTATTATAAAACCCGCGTTCTGCCAATGTTTAGTAAGCAAAACATATTTGATGGAAAAATAAAAACACACAAGAATTAGGAAATGGCAAGAGAGAAGATTATGGTGATAAAACAACTACACTTTCCAAATTTCTTAACCACTGGTAGTAATTAAGATGATATGAATAAAATATTAAGACTATTGATTATACTATTATCATTTTTTTATAATCAGAAGAGTTTCTGTAGGTAAATTTGTGTTAGCCATAAATGGCTACCTAAGGAAGATACACAGCATTCAGCCCTATCATTGATCCTTTTAAGACAATCAGCAATCGTAAACATTATAAGAAATATACAAGTTATGATTCAAGAAAGGAAGATACATTTCCTACCAACTATGTGTTATTACATAATTATTTAATTTTCTGTATC